TACCCTTATAACTATAGCCTTGAGCAGTGTCACATATCCAAGATTTTGGAGATGCCACCACGTCTCCCGCGGGAGATGCCGCATCTCGCGCGAGAGATGCGGGTGTGGGGTGTGGGGGATGCGCATCTCTAAAGGAGATCATACATCTCCAGTGGTGAATGACCACATCTCTCGAGTGTGGGTGTGGCGTCTCCCGCTGGAAACGCGGCATCTCCCACGGGAGATGTGGTGGCATCTCCAAAATCTTGGATATGTGACACTACTCAAGGCTATAGTTATAAGGGTATAGGTGTAAGGATATAGGTATAAGTATATAGCTGTAAGGGTATAGAATAGGGATATAGGATCAGGATATAGAATAGGCGTGTAGCATTTAAAAGGTGTAACACCTTATGCGTGAGACAGAATCAATTTTAATAAAAAATCAGAAATAGTTTCGTTAATTTACTACGGAACCTTTTTCAGGCAGAACCATTTTTTGGGGGTTCCAAAAAGTACCCGCGGGCCGAACCCTCAAAAAGGTTCTGTAAAACTCCATTTTTTTCAGAGTGCTGTGGTTAGTTGAACATGTTTCAACTTCAGATCCTGATTCAGAGTTTGATGAAACTTCATCGATTTCCACATCCGAAAATCGATATGTTGCCATGTTCACAAAACAAATGCGTTAAGTTCCGATAGGCTGTTGTGTATATTTTAGTTACTATTTATCCACGATCTTGCAATATAAAACGAGTCAAAAAATAGCTAATTCAAAACTGAACTACTCATAAAAATGATGAGTATATATATACTTGGCCTGGACAAGAAGGAACATTCTAGAATATTTTTAATAACATTTATAGAGAGAAAAAAGAACAGAAGACAAGAAAATGCACTGAAGTGACTCGAATGTATAGAAAAGGAGAAAGATATGGCATATGCGCTTCCCATATATTATAAAGAAAAGAAGAAAGAGAACAAAAGATAACCATATATGCAACAAACTGACTGTTCTCTATGCACATTCTTTTGTAAAACACGATCTGAAAGAGAGTGTTGAAGTGTATAGGGGTAGAAATTTGCACCCCCCCCCCCCCCCCCCCCCCCCCCCCCCCCCCACCCCCCCCCCCACCACGCCCCCGCCCAGCCCCCCCGCCCCGCAAGGCCGCCGCGCGGCGCGCGCGCGCGGCGGCGACAGGCCGCC